ATTAAAGTATAAGCTCCCAAAGGGCAGGGGCCTGGCACTGTATTAAGTAGTAAAGGCTTAATTGCTGTAAATGCTCATTGACTTGAATTGCTCAGGGAGTGTCAGGACCACGGAATGATAGATTTAGATCTAGGAGGAAATAGAGATTATCTAGTTCAATCCTCTCATTTTACAGATGAATAAACTGAGGTCCAGAGAAAGGAATAGACTTGTCCAAGGCCGTATAGATAGTAAGTGATTGAGCCATAGTTTGAATCCTTGTTTTCTAACTCAAGATCTAACACTTTCTTCACTACACCTAGTCCATGAAGGCAACGTGGTGTAATGGAGAGAATCCTGGCTCCCAGTCAACCAGTCATCCGGCACCAGGGTCCATCCAGTTCTGGAATCTGGCAATCTGCCCTGTTGGCTTATACGGAAGCCCCACCCTCCCCACCCCACAGACCCTTTTCACCTCTTGCTCAGGGAACAGCACATGTTTAATAATCAAATTAATATTACTATGGTTACCAGAAGGGACATGACAATCTAGTGCCCTTCACAATCCCTGGGATTATCTAAAGTTCCCTTCCCTGATCACTACTCCACCCCCCACTTATGTGTTGTATCCTCTGCTAGAATATTAGCTCCTTGAGGGCAGAAATTATCTCACTTTTAGATTCATATCCCCTGGCCTAGACACTTTCCCTAATCTATGCCTCAATATTCTCATGTATTAAATGGGAGCCATTAATTCAAGCCCTAGATACCTCATAGGTATCTAGGTGATTGTGAGAAGCAAATGACATAACAGATTTAGAAGGGTTTGGAAAAATTAAAAGCCCTCTAAAAATGTATCATCGTTACCGCTACACTCACCAGGTCTGAAGCACATCTGATTATAGCTTGTCTTGATTGATTATTGCTCTTTTCTCATTCTATACATGCACTCATCCTCCCAACTAGACTGTAAGCTCCCTGGAGGTAGAGGCCCATATCTTTTCTTTTTGTCTTCTCACAGGATAGGGCAGGGAATAGGAATGGATGGATAGATGGATGAATGGATAGAGGGATGGAAGGATGGAGAGAGGGATAGGATGGATGGAAGGAGGGATAGATGGAGAGAGGGATAGGATGGATGGAGGGAGGGACAGATGGAAGGGTAGAGGGAGAGAGGAAGAGAGGGAATGGATGAATGGGTAGAGGGTGGTTGTCCTTTGTTCTTGAAAAAGACCAATGACATCAGGAGGGTGATATTTTGACTTTCAAGTGAATTGGATTTAAGTGAGGCAGGGCTGTGCAAAGTCATCAGCCTCATTCTTATGGAAGGAGGGAAGTTGGAAGGGAGAGAGGGAGGGATGAAGATAGGCAATATGAAAAGAATTCTGGCCTTGATGTCAAGAGGGTCTGAGTTTGAATCTTGGCTCTCCTATTAATTAGTTATGTGATCATCAGTAGGTGTCTTCCTGTCTCTGTGCCTTGGTGTCTTCATCTGCAAAATGGGGATAACTCCTATAGTACCTACATCACAGAACTAAATGCACTCTCTTTATGCCTTAGCCTCATAGAATCCCTCTATTCCATTAAGATGCAACTCAAGTACCATCTTTTTCATGAAAGCCTTTCCTGATTCCCCTCCATATTGAAGAGCAATGGGCCTAAGGGGGGCCCTCACTAGGTTGATTGAGCTGCCTCCCTGCCCCTTCCTGCAAAAAAAGAAAAAAACCCTCAGGAGGCTCATTCCCTCCCCAAGCTTTTACCCCGAAGAAATAGCCACAGCTGTCTTTTCTCTTCTCTGGCCTTCTCTTTACGGCCATTGACAATTTTTCATGGAATTGTAGGATTTAGAGATGGAAGGACCCTGACAGAGATCATCAAATTGGAATTGAGGCCCACAAAAAGTAAGCAGAAGAGCTGAGATTTGAACCCAGGCCCTGTGACTCACAATTCAGCATTCTTTCCACCGCACTCACAAGGCTGTCTCCTGGGTGGTCCCTACAGGATTGGAGTCAGACCAAGTTGTCCTTACCAGGATTTAATTAGAAAGTGTTTAGCACAAGTTGTCCCAGCCTCTTCTCACACTTCCCAGCACACTCTGGACCCCTTGACGGCCTGGCCCTGAATTACT